TATTGACCAAGAAACCAATTCACTGTTAGAGCAATTTCATGATAATCTTCCCCTAGAAATTTTCCTTGATAGAAAGTATCTTTCAACTGGCGTCAACCTCAAACACTCTATTATTCAAGAGCTACTCATCCTGATATAGCCTTAGAAGAAAGATCTAATATTATGCAAAATAATTATAATGCCAAATAGTATGTGTGAGTGGAACATAGATGATCGTTCCGAATACAACATTATGGCCAAATTACAGTAGATGACTATGGAAATTCGAAAGGGTTTTACACTTCAGGCTGTTAAGTATCTCAGAAGATCTTTCCCTAAAAATATCTGGACTACCTATGAATGTTTTGATAATAGTATAAATTAGGGTGTTTGTTGAATCGGGAATGGTATAGCCATCCTTATGGATTAGTTTTCCCGTTGAATCAACTCGGACACTTAAGAAAATTTGGTTTTTATTTTCATAACTAATATGAGTAACGCACAAACCTTTAAGTTGACCTGTAAAACCTGCTGCTTAGACTTAGGTAGTAAGATGGCCAGAACAGTTATGAGAAGTCCGGTATGTAGAGATTATCATAGTCATTTGCTGTAATTTGGCCAAAATATTGTATTCAGAACAACCATCTATATTCTGTTCATAGATATTATTGGCATTATTATTATTTTGCATAATGTTGGGTCTTTGTTCTAAGGCTACATTGACTGTAATCATAAAAGAATAAAGTTATTTTATTAATCAATTGTGAGTACAATTCTATTTTTCTCTTGATTCTTCTCATCTGATTATCTTCGTGATTCGACGTGTTTCTCGAACGTAGGATGATGAAGACTTCCTTGGATTTATTTGATATCCAAGAAGTATGTTGTGGATATTCTTGAAATTTTTGATTATCAAGAATTATTCGGCCACCTCTTGATCTCTTTGTGAATATTCGGTGAGTTTTTGAGATTTTTGAGAGGATTTCCATTTTTGAGATATTTTTTTATGGGATTATGTAACCCTTTTTATAGAAATGACCTAGGGCTAGGGTAGTAGTCTCCAGGTTAGGGTTTTGGTAGAGTAGCCTCCAAGCAATAGATTCCTAGAATTTCAAGAGTTGTTTTAGTATCTTGAATTTTGGATTTTGCATGATTCGGTAAAATTTCAATGTCTAAAAATGCCCTTACTTCAAGGTTTATCGGGGTGTTGACTTGCCGAAACTTGAAGACGAGACTTGAAGTACTCGACCATCGTAATAACTGATTTGAAACTTGTAGTTTTCGATTTGCAGGAGGAAGAGATGAAGGGCATAACTGGTCCCACTGGGCGTGCCAATTTGTTTGCAATGAATTTTCGACATACGAAAAATAACTACAATCACAAAAGAATAAAGTAATTTTATTAATCAATTGTGAGTACCATTCTGTTTATCCCTTGATTCTTCTCTCCTGATTATTTCCGTGATTTGAAGGCTGGAGCAGCGTGTTTCTCGAACGTAGGATGGTGTAGACTTCCTTGGATTTATTTGATATCCGTGAAATATGTAGTGGATCTTCTTGAAATATTTGATTATCAAGAATTATCCGGCCACCTCTTGATCTCTTTGTGAATATCCCGTGAGTTTATGGGATTTTTGAGATGATCTCCATTTTTGAGATATTTTTTTAGAGATTACGTAACCTTTTTTATAGGAGTGACCTAGGGCTAGAGTAGTAGCCTCCAAGTTAAGGTTTTGGTAGAGTAGCTTCCAAGCAACCCTGATAGATTCCTAGAATTTTAAGGGTCGTCTTAGTATCTTGACTTTTGGATTTAGCTTGATCAGTTAAAGTTTCAGTGTCTACACCTATTCTAACAAAGAAAATTTCTAGGGGAGGATTGTCATGAAATTACTCGGGCTGTGAATGAGTTTCTAGTCAGTGTCTACTTATCTGAGAACAATAACATAAGAAGTGTTATCTTTAGTTGGGGTGTCTTGGGCTATCAGAGTTTTCTCAATTTTTAGGATCCTATGCTAAAGGTCAAAAACCCGAGAAAAGTCTTTAGCTTGGTGAATTTAAAGTTCTATAGAAAAAGTTTCTAATGATCTCTCATAAGGGTTAAATAAGGAGAATGGAGAAGTGGAGGTTTCTGTTGGCTTAGAACTAGTGGATGCTGAGAAGATGGGTTTGTTATCAAATATTCACTAAGAGTTTGTAAATATTTGTATGCATAGTTATTTTATTCAAAAATATTTTGGCCTGTAATATCTTCATTTTCAATCTTTAATTTGAAAGCAATCAACACATTAATCTCTAACTAATAGCAAAAATATTTAGGAGTGAACTTATTGTCTTTGTCTCACCATATTAATGTATTCGAGTTTTGGAATTTCAGGATTATATTAGCAGGAGGAATGGGAATGCTGGTGATTGGGACAATGGCAAACAACAGGTCGAGAGCTTCTTGTGGGTTTGGACATCGTCATTTTTTCTCCATTGGTGGAATTTTGTGTTTCGTACATGCCATTTTTTCTGTTGCCTATTACGCCACATCTACTATGACTCTTGCATAGTCCAAAACCACCAATCTTATTCCTCTCGAGGTGGATTCAGATTTTAATTCTACAGGTTCAAGACTCGAGTTCTAACTACTGAAAGCATCACAATTCAAGCATTTTCAGCAATTCCAGTGGATATGACACGGAAAAATTCAAGTCTAGGCTAAAAGTTATGGATTCAAACGCAGATTAGTAGTGCTACCCGCCCCTGCTTCCTCTTGTGTTCTCCTCACAATTTCTTGCTACAAATTAACCTTATATATAGTTTATTCTACGAGGTTTTAAATTTTTCACTTCTCTTTTTCTTTGTTTGATCTTTTAGAGATTGGTAATACTCTGGTAGAGTAACTGCCATTTGGCGTGACTTCTGCTTATAGATCATAGTTATGACAACTGCTTTCGGTTTGGAGCTGACTTATCTTATGGATACTCCAAAGTTGATGAAGTGTTTTCGACGATTTGTTTTTAGAACTAATACTCTAAAATCTGTCTAAATTATACAACTTTTGTCAGTTGCCTACAACTTTCTGTCTAAATTATACAGCTTATGTGACATAATGTGTAATAAATCGCCAAATAACGTGTGAAGGCAGAAAAATGCCATTAAATGGCCCACTTATCAGTGTTTAATGGCTTATTAGCTTTCCTTTTTTAAATTATATTTCACCTTCCTACCTCACTTTCTTCTCCATTTCTTCATCTGAAATTCTCTCTTTCTTGTCAAAACCCCTAACCTTCTATACCGATTGATGAGCAGAACCCTAGTTTTTATTCTGATTTTCGACAGAAACAAGAATAGACAAAGCAATTAAGGTAAGAACCAAGATTAATGGAGAAAATTACTACTGAGAGGTGTAGCCATTATCTGATGAGAGCATAGAGAAAATGAGTTTTTTTACAACTGAGCCACTAGTTTTAACCCTAGCCCTTTTTATTTTATTTTTAACATGTAATTTTTTACAATGATATAATAAAGAATATTAAAATCTTAATTAAATCTGTATTTTAGATTAAGCTAAACAAATATCCACGTAGATTACCACATGACAAATTTTAAAAATAATTGGAGCGTGTATTATACGCACGATGAGAGGGTTTTATTATGAAAGAGATATAGTTCAGGGGTTTTGAAGGGCAGGCGATAGTTTAAGCAGGCAACCGACAAAGATTATATAGTTTAGGCGAGTTTTAGAATATTAACTCTTTGTTTTAAAATGATGACAATTGCATATTTAATTTTGAGAAGCTTATTACATGACCTGTGTGTTTGCCGTTGCACTAATTTTGGCCAAAAAATCGAAGATATGATGTCCAATGTATAATTGATCAACTCTACCATGAATTCAAATATTTCAACTAACTAAAGCACAGGAAAATAATTCATTTGAAGAAGTATAGTATTTTAGAATGCCTATATTGTTGGAAGAAAGGGAATGTCCCTCATTGATTAGGAAGAGCTCGATTTTTCACTTGATAAAAAAATTGTCTTCTCTAGGGCTAGTAAAGAGCAAGAAAAAAGAAAATTAGGCAAACAACGAGCATGCGGGACTAGTTAATGGCTAATAAATAATAACAATACCAAGTTTACGGGATCAAATAATTTAGATTTACTGAATATAAAAAGAAAGCTATGTGAGTTTTGCCAAGGTAAAATAAGAAATAACAAAGTTATGAAGAGGTATCCATTTTGAGTGCAAAGTAGTAATAACTGAAACGAAAATATTTAGCATCAAAGGGGATGTAGCTCAGATGGTAGAGCGCTCGCTTAGCATGCGAGAGGTACGGGGATCGATACCCCGCATCTCCATTGTTGTTACGTCTTTTCAGTTTATTTATGTAAGACGTGTTTCATGATTTTAGGCCAAAAATTCCGCTGAAGAAAAGGTAAACAACAACAGGATAAGAGTGCAAGTGGAAAATAAATGAATTACTCTTTTTCATGACCCAAGTCTTTAATTTTATTCTTCAAGCGATCTATGTGCGTGGGTCCATTTCTTGCACAATTGGAATTTAGTGCAACCTTAACTGAGTCAAAAAAGAAAAAGTCAGAAACGGAGGTTTATGATGCTAGAAATTACATTAAGACTAAGGGATTGAAAGCTCTTCTTTCCAATTACTAATGTATGCTCTCGATATTTTGTGTTTGGTCGATGTTCTATGCCTGTAGTAAAATTGTGCAATTTTCTGCTCCATTTTGCAAGCTAGGAAGAGGTTAAACAATCTTTTACAAATGGTTCTAACTATCCTGGTACGAGTATCACAGGCTGTTCATGCTCTGATATATCTGTTATCAGACCTTTAACACTATTTCTAACACCATTATTCACGAATTTGATGTCTAATTATCATCGCAAGTATCTTAATTTTTAGCCATGGTAAGACATCACAGTATTTTCCTAGACTAATGCCTCTAGTTAATAAACAAGTCAAGATTTGGAATAATTACCTGGCTTTGGTATCACCAGAATCGTCAACAATCAAATGTACTCTGTCACGAATTGCACATCCATGTACTCACTATATACTGAATATGCTCATGATACACAAGATTGAGGAAAATCATGATACAAAATAGAATTGAAACAATTTAAAAAAAGGGACAACCCGGATTATAGATTTCGTATAAAGGCTTAAATAATGAACGCCATCATAACAACAAAGCCAAATCCCATTGTAGAACCAGCAATGACTCCGATTTTATTAGCCGATGATGGGGGAGATGGCGTCGGAACAGAAGCACCAGAAGGAGGCAATGCAGGAGCCTCAATAGTAGGAGATGATGGACTACTAACAGGTGATTTTGTAGGGGACGTTGTAGGGGATTTAGCAGGGGAAATTTTAGGTGCAAGTTTTGGCGACGGCGGTGAAGATTTGGGAGATGGTGATGAAGCAGGGGATTTAGTAGGGGAACTGACAACTGGGGTGGTGGAAGGTGTAGATGCTGGTGGCGGAACTGGTGGTGCGGCTGCAGATGGTGGAGAAGCTGTGGCAATTGTATTGACTTCAAGTTTCATTCCCGAGGCACAATGTCCACCTGTTCCACATATGAAATATCTCTTGCCTAGAGAAGATAGAGTAATGACTGTCATCCCACCAGCATTTGTTGATATTGCATTTGTTGTCTCGCAAGAATCATAATTAGCTTTTGTAACTTCAAGCACATCATGGCTTAGACCATAGGAAAATACTGTTAATAAGAAAAACAAAAATAGAAGATGTTAGTTAGTTTGAGAACGAGAGGGGTTCGACTTAATTGTAAATAGGTTTGAGTCACATTGAACGTAAGTAACAAAACATGCACGGATCCCTTGAATGAAAGGGACTCCCACCAGAAGCGGAGCAAGAATTTGAAATCTATTGGTTTAAGATTCTAGTCTTTTTGAGTTACTAGTTTTTAAATTAATAATTTGTATGTTATCAATGAATTTTTTAATATTACACATATAGGATCTGGACAAAAGCTATCGGATTCGGCCGAATTCGTACTCAATATTCTAGCTCTGCCCCTACCTCCCACCAACCGCAAGAACCTCAAGATGATGAAGACTCGTCCTCTTCATGGAAAAAATGGAGTGAGGATCAAGACGGGGATAATAGTCCTTCATCAATACCAAGAAAGGTGGGCAGGGGCGGAGCTATCATGTTCCGTACAAGTTCGGATGAACCAGTGGCTTTGATTTAAAATCTATTTATTTAAAAATATTTATTGAATATGTAGAAATTATTAATTTCGAATCCAATAACTTAAAAAGAAAAAAAAATCCTGAACTTATAAATCCTAACTCCGCCTCCGATATAAAATGAAAAGACCAAGCTTTTAATACTATATTTAGACGGAATGTCATCTAAACAACCATAAAACAATCAAAATTCCAATGTTCCCAAACATGAGAAGGAAAAAAGGCATTAGTGCTAAGAAGTATAAGTTTTATTGGGTGAATTATGGAATGGGGATGGCTTACTCAAATTATCACCAACTAAGAAAGTTTCGGATGCAGCCCATGTTTTATAATCCGCGCCCTGTCTCCATCCACTATTACCTCCCACTGTGTGATTTGCAGCCATGGCTGAACCAAACACCATGGATATGGCTGCCAAGCTCAATAATGTTCTTAGCATTGCCATTTTTAATAAGCAAATTTTACAATTGGGTTGTATAAACTGCTGAAATATTTGCTAGTATCTTGAAAATTATGTCTTCTTTCTTGCAAGATTCTGCTTTTTATAGGTAATTCTGTTGAATGAGGACAGAATTGTTTGACTAAGATTGTCATATTTTATAATCTAAACGCGCCAATGACGGTGGTTTCTCAAAGAGGCCACCTTTTCTCCCCGCGTCTTTTTATTCTTTTTTCTTTTTACTTTCATTTTATGAATCTTTTTTCATATTGGCGGTGCTCGGCGCAGATGCGGATCCAGAATTTCAAGAGGATGTGTGCACTGTTGTCAAGAGGTGGATTTAGAATTTACATTTAACGGGTTTAACTTTAGTCTCTTACCATGAACCCGCTCCACTTTTGAAATTATAGGTTCGAAATTAATTTTCTTCACTTTCAATTTATGTGAACCTATTTGAATGAGCACGAAGTTTAAAAAAAGAGAGAAGACTTTTGAACCTGTGGTGTAAAATGGTACATATATTTTGTGTGGCTATAAATCATTGCATAAAGGTAAATTGTTTCCACATAAGGAAAGGAGTCATTCCTTTTGACCCCGACTAAAAAGGAAATATATTCACATAAATTAAAACGGAGGGAATATTTTTTTTAAAATTTTTTTAATGAGTATATATATATATATATATATATATATATATGTGTGTGTGTGTGTGTGTGTGTGTGTACACACACACTATGTGCTGAAAATAAAACTGCCCGGAGTGGGACTGAACCGTCGATTTCACTTATAGAGGTGCACCCAATAATAATTGCATCATAGTAATCTTTGAGCATGGATACACGCACATATATTTAAGTAAGTTTGAGAAATATAACATTGTTATACATAGTTTAGGGAGATGAGCATGGGTTCACGTGAACCCGTACTCCTTAACCTAGATACATCTCTGTGGTCGGGCCAATCTATGCTCAGATTAACTATTCTGCTAGATACCTATTGTATAGGGTAAAATATGCTTATATTAAATGTTTGCATAATAAAGTGACACATGGAGGCGAAGGCAGAAGGTAGTCAGGCCCGAAGGCAACGATCTCGTTTATTTCCGAAGGGAATAGGTATTTATAAAGGCAAAATAAATGGCTACCACCCGGTAGCATTTAATACAGAATATTATATAACATTAAGTACATGGTCCGTTACAGAGAATATGATATTCACTAACTACCATTACACATTCTTCAATTGCTCTCATAATTGTCATTTAAGAGGCGCTTGATCCTAGGACCTTGTTCCCTAGGTACAACTATAAATAGTGAGCTTCACAACCATTGTAAAGGGACATGAATTTTCTGACCAGCACATACTATACTCTTTTCAAAGCTCAATAATATTTTATCTTCTTGCTTATTATTATTGTTATTATTGCCTCTGGAAGCTCTGCTCCTGGAACCAAGGTTTCTGCCATTTTATCTCAATTTCAATGCCAAGTGTTACATTCGTATTTAATTTATTTATCATTTTAGGATCAAATCGATTAACTTGTCTATAAACCACGTATAAATTTAACTGTACCATTTTACGGGGTAAACAGTTTGGCGCCCACCGTGGGGCTTAAAGAGTTGTATAATTGAGTTGATCCTTACATCTATTACTAACCTGTTTTATTCTTTGTTCTTGGCAAAAATCATAGAAAATGGCAGATAACGATGTCAACATCGCACAGAACATTGAGGCTGTAGGAAATCAGCCTCAACACGAAGATTCCATCAGTGATACCCGCAACGAGGGGGATGAGGTTGCGCCGGTCCATGAAAGGCAATATCCGCGACATGTTCGAGAGGCAACTCTTGATGATGCTAAAGACGAGCACGTCGATGAAACAACAAGGATCCTGAGTGAGCAGCAAAAGGCCATTATGGGTCATCTCTCACGACAGGATCAGGTCATGATGGAGTTGAGGCAAACATTGTCAGGTGCTTCCAACAACGCGAATGGACGAGGTCCAGTTCCTCCAATTCTCCCGCAAATCAAACAACGTAGAAGGTCGACAGCAACACCCTGAAGGGCGAAGTTAGCTTATTCGACAGGGCCTGTGGGGAATGATAACGGGTCCGATAACAACAATGAGAACGATCCATTTACAAACGAGCTCATACAGTTAATGAGAGAAATAAATGCCCGAATGGATCAAATTCCCGGTGCACTGCCAGTGTTGAAAGGACTGGATTCAAAGAAGTATATCAAGTTGTCAGTCAAACCAAGCACGACACCAGAATTGATCCTAAAGCAGTTTAAAATGCCAGATGTGCCAAAGTATGATGGGACTTCGGATCCTCAGGAACATAGCACCACCTATACAATGGCAGTGAAGGGAAACGATTTAGCTCCCATGAAATTGAGTCAGTCTTACTAAAGAAGTTCGGGGAGACCCTCACGAAGGGAGCCTAACATGGTATTTGCTCTTGCATGAGCACTCACTCGATTGCTTCGAGATGCTCGTGGATTCATTTATCAAGGCCCATGCGGGGCCCATAAGGTACAGGCCTGCAAGGCCGACATATTTAGGATTGCACTAGGAGAGTCCGAATTGCTTCAAGAGTTCCTGACCAGATTCTAGAAGGAAAGGATGTTGCTACCGGCTGTACCGGATGAATGTGAAGTATAATCATTTACTAAAGGGTTGAATTCGAGAAGTTCCGATGCTTCCCGAAAATTGAAAGAAAGTCTGCCCGATTTCAGCAACAACATGGTCAGATGTCCACAATCGGTTCGAGTTGGAAATAACTATTGAGGATGATCAGCTCGGTTTCCAGACATCAACCAAGGGTCGGGACCGGGAGAAGAATAAGGAGATATCAAAATATGATTTGACACAGATCGACAGTCTTCAAGGGGTCAGTTTTTTCCTATGAACGGGCCAAAGGACGTGGTAGAGGTTTCTTCTCGGCAGATAGATTTGCTACCGATAGAAGGCTAATCGTGACCGGATTAATAGATCGTTTCAGGATAAGGAGATATAAGGTTCCTGAGACTCCTCATACCCCAGGCTTTCCGAATACAACTTCAACGTCAGCGTAGTAGAGCTAGTGTCTTCTATGAAGAACATTGAGGAAGCATGGTTTCCGAAGCCAATGAGATCTGTTCCCAGTCAAAGAGATCCCAATTTTTAGTGCGAATACCATGGGACCAATGGCTATCGGACAGGGTACTGCGGTATTTGTACGAGGAGGTGGCAACATTGCTGAAAAATAGACTTCACAGAATTCCTAAGTGATCGAGCTAAAAAAAACTCTGGCCGCAAGTGATAAAGCGGAACCTTCGAAAGCAGGAGAGGATCCTCCATGTTTGACGATCAATATGATCTTCGAGGGGAACGAGATTAATGATGTAACATTTTCGGCAGGAAAAAACGAAGGTGTTGGTAACCCACAGTAAGAGACTCCGGAAAGTCACTGAAGACAATATTACTTTCATGGAGGAAGACGCAAATGAACTGCTACTATCGCACAATGATGCTTTGGTAATCTCTTTAAATGTTTTAGATATTGAAATTAAACGTCTTTTGGTGGACCCAGGAAGTTTGGCCAATATTATATATAAGAGAGTGTTGGAGCAATCCAAGCTGTCTGGAAGCATTATTCCGGCCAGAAAACTCCTCGCCGAATTCAATCTGGCAAGCATGACAACCCGATGAGAGATATGGCTGCCCACGAATGCCGAAGGGGTGATGAAGACGACCCTTTTCGAGGTAGTAAATGGCGATATGTGTTACAATATTATCCTGGGAAGACCGTAGGTGCACGAGATGAAGGCCGTACCGTCAACATATCATCAATACTAAAGTTCCCAACTCATGAGGAAACTAACAAATAAGAAGAGACTAACTAGCGGCAATGGAGATGAACATATTCTCAATTTCTAGTAGCAAAGGGAAGAAGCTTGCAACATAGCAATTACAGAAACCGGCGCCTGCCCTCGAGCCGAGCGAAGTCAACCGGGGGCGGAGTCGCGGGAATCCTATCAGGTACCAAGATACTCCCAGGTACCAAAAGAAAAAGATGCAATAAAATCCTTGGTGGAGGAACTTGAGCAAGTAGCGCTATTCCAAAAACTCTTGGAGATGAAGTTCCACTTGGGGACATGATTAAACCCCGAGCTCAGGTCTGGATTTATTGAATTTCTTAAATTTAACATTGATTGTTTTGCGTGGTCGCATGCGGATCTGACAAGTATCGCACCAGAAGTGGTCGTGCATAAACTAAGCTTGGACCCTAACATCCCTCTAGTTAGGTAGAAAAAACGTCCTATCACCGAGGTCAGAAATAAAATCGTTAAAAAAGAGGTAACTCATTTGCTTGATATCGGTTCAATCCGAGAGGTAAAGTATCCTGACTGGCTAGCAAACTTAGTAGTAGTTTCAAAATAGAATAATAAATTTCACATGTGCGTAGACTATAAGGATTTAAATAAGGCGTGCCCAAAAGACTCATTCCTATTGCCAAATAGTGATCAAATGATTGATGCGACGGTCGGGTACGAGTTAATGAGTTTCCTAGATGCTTACTCCGAGTACAACCAAATCAAGATGAACCCGGAAGATCAGGATAAAACTTCGTTCATAACGAACTTCGGTACATATTGTAATAATGTGATGCCATTCGGGCCAAAGGATGCCGCAACCACTTATCAACGGCCTGCAAACAAAATTTTTTAGAAACAAATAGGGAAAACCATGAAATTTTACATGGATGATATGCTAGTTAAGTCTTTGAACACAGGTGATCATCTTAAACACTTGCAAGAAACCTTTGACATCCTGAGAAAGCACAACATAAAGCTTAACCCCGAGACGTGTGACTTCGGGGGTCAGCTCCGGTAAGTTCTTAGAATTCCTGATGTCGTAAAAGGGGATAGAGATCAACCCTTATAAAATTAAATTCATCAAAGACATCCCAGACTACCTATTAAGCGTGAAAGAGGTTCAAAGGTTGACAGGGAGACTAGCCACTTTAAGTAGATTCATTTCTGGACTTCGGAAAAATGCCATCATTTCTTTTCACTCTTCAAAAAGAAAAATAGCTTCAAATATACTCCGGAATGCCAGTAGGCTTTGAAGGATTTGAAAAGGTATTTGTCGAGTCCTCCATTACTGTCAAAATCGGAGGAATGCAAACAACGTTTGATCTACTTAGTGGTCTCTAAGGTAGCGGAAAGTGTCGTTTTAGTCCGTGAGGACAAAGGTACGCAATCTCTTATCTATTATGTTAGTAAAATTTTAACGGAGATAGATACTCGCTACCCACATCTGAAAAAATTGGTATTAGCTATCCTAGTCACCGCTCAAAAACTTTTCCAATGTCATCCGATAGTAGTGGTGACCATCTTTCCCTTGTGGAATATCCTTCATAAACCTAAAGTTTCAGGTAGGTTTGCCAAGTGGGTAGTCAAAATGAGTGAATTTAACATAGAATTTAAACCTAGGACTACAATTAAGTCACAAGTTTTGGCTGACGTTGTGACTGATTTCAGTTCAGGACTGTTAACTTTGGCTACCGAAAAAGTAGTAATGGTGTTAGAATCGACATTGGGAGTTTGGAATATGTTCATGAATGGATCTTCCAATGTGAAAGGGTCCAGGCTCGGCTTAATGCTAATCATTCCCTCAGGATAAACCCTAAGGCAAGCCATAAGAACTGTTTCTCTAACTAACAATGAAGCAGAGTATAAAGCTTTGATTATAGGATTCGAGCTGGCCCAAGGACTGGACTCCGAGGTCATAGAAATTAAATGCGACTCCCAATTGGTAGTAAATCAAGTCTACGGGATCTTCAAAGACAAAAGGAACACATGTAGTAATATGTAATGAAAGTCCAAGCTCTGCTCGCATGGTTTAGGGAATGGTCGATTACCATATTCCAAGAGGAGAAAATGCGAAGGCAGACGCATTAGCCAATTTAGGGTCGTTCACAGAAATGAACGAATCAGACTCCAGTACGGTTATGCAACTTATACATTCAGTATTGGATGATGACATCTATTACGAAGTAAACACGACCAATTTAGTTTGGGACTAGAGAAATGAGATCATAGGTTATCACGAGCACAAAAAATTGCTCGAAGATCCCAAGGCATCTCGGGTGCTGCGCACTAAATCAACTCGATACAACCTCAAGGGAGGTCAATTATATAGAAGATCTTTCCAAGGCCCGTTGGCCCAATGTTTGGGAGCTTCCGAAGCTAACTATGTCATGCAAGAAGTCCATGAAGGGATCTACAGAAATCACTTAGGCACGGATTCCTTAATATTAACATTAATTAGGGCAGGATACTACTGGCCCCGGATGGAAGAAGACGCTAAGGCTTATCTACAAAAATGCAATAAGTGCCAATGCCACGCACCGTTGGTACATCAACCGGTAGAGCCACTGCACTCAGTTTTGTCGCGATGGTTGTACATAAAGTGGGTGATGAATATAGTTGGTCTGTTGCCGCCGACCCCCGGTAAGGTAAGATTTATTTTGATTTTAATTGAAATTTTTTCTAAGTGGGTTGAAGCAGGTCCTTATCAGAAGATCGGAGAGTGTGAAGTGGTAGATGTTTTTTGGGAGAATATAATTTTCAGATTTGGGATACCAAAAGAGATAGCCTACGACAACATGCCACAATTTATAGGCACAAAGGCCACTAAATTTCTTGAAGACTTAAAAATCAAAAGGATCACATCATTACGCTATGACCCGAGTACAAACGAACAAGCAGAATCAACAAGCAATGTGATTATCCAAAATCTCAAAAAGAGATTTGAAGCATCCAAAGGCAAATGGCCCGAAGAGCTCATGAATACTATGGGCATATCGAACAACTGCCAAATCAAGCACATAGGAGACTCCTTTCACTCTTGTGTACGGAGCAGAAGCCTTGATCCCGGTAGAAGTAGGAGAACCTACCCTGAGATATTTTCAAGTGGATGAAGAAACAAATAATGAAGCAATGTTGGTCAAATTGGAACTGCTAGATGAACACAGGGACTTGGCGCAATGATGGCAGACCACAAACAGAGAATAGAAAGATATTACAATCGAAGAGCCAATCTCTGTTATTTGAAAGTAGGAGACTTGATATTGAGGAAAGTAACTCAGAACACCCGAAAGTCCAATGTGGGAAAGCTAGGTCCAACGTGGGAAGGCCCATACCGGGTTTCAGTTGTCACCGAGAAAGAATCATACAAATTGGAAAATCAAGACGGAATAAAGTTGCCGAGCAACTGGAATGTGGCATACCTCAAAAGATACTATTTTTGATGAGCACCGCCTATACTAAAATAATGTGCTGCACTATTTTTCTCTTCGTCCAGTGTTTGTCCCAATTCGGTTTTTCTTGCAAGATTTTTAACGAGGCAACAATAGACATCATACTACGAAGAAAGTTGCGTCATTAGTAATAAGACCTTTAAATGATAAGGCATGCAAGGATAAAGCTAATACAGAGCAGTTAGATAATCTTTTGCTCGGCAACAAAGTTCCTACCAAGAAATTAAGTTTGCTATTAGGCCAAAGGTTACCTGACCATTCATGAGTGCAAGACAATAGGGGGTTGTTAGATACTCTTTAGCTCAATAGAAAAATTTCTAAGGGGAAGTGAAGCTTGTTATCGAACTAAAGATTATCTAACCATTCACTAGTGGAATCTTCAAAAATTCAAGGCTTCTAATGTTCAAATGCGCATTCTTCATATTTGAATACCGGGGGAGGGGGAATTATATGATAATACGGCAATAATGACTACCACATTGACCGAGACTACAAAATTTGGAAACAAAGTTTTGTCATCAGGACGATGGGACTGCGCGGCCAACCCCGTATAAACAAGTTGTATAAGTAAGCCACAAGTAATGACAATTTCTTTTTAGCACATGGAATGCTTATGTACTTTTTAAAAGGGAAAGAATAAAGTCTTGTTTCTTGTCTTATCGATGAGTTAATTTTATCATTTGAAAGTTAAACAAGTACTTCAAATGCTAGTGCTGTAATGAATATGAGACATCCTATTCAAGAGCACCATAAACATAAAAAGGCCCTCTCTTTTGAAACCCTCACATTAAATGATTGATTTTGGAAGAACTTATGTTCGGAATCCAAGTACTATCGGGGAAAAACACACCCGAAGACTTGCATATCTCGACGCAAAAAACGTGCGAAAATACTTAAACAAAAAGAATGCAAAGATAAAAACTTTCGCAATACTTTCACAAAAAAGGTACTTCTATTTATAGCAAATGTGCTAAGAAGATACTTCACCATTTGACCTTCAATGTCATTCCCTTCCGGTTCTTCTTCAGTTCCCCATAACTCAAAACCGGAACCAGAGGAGTCGGTAGCATCAGGTTAGATTGGGAGACCCTTTCAGGCAGTTGCCTCCAGCTCACAGGCCTTAGCAATCTCGGCATTAAAATTAATGACACCCCTTTTGGTCTCTTCCAAGGTTTTTGTCCTTACACTATATATAGAGAACATATTTTTGACAATGAGGGAAGCCGCTCGACGATGAAGCTCTTCATTAAGCTGGTCAACCTCGGTCAAAAGATTATTCCTCCCTGACCTAATGGCTTGAAGGCTAACATCGAGGTCACGGATGGTGGAGTGAAAAACTCTATTATGCTCTACAACCCTCTTATTCTTTTTTTTCCTACCGGGTATACTTCTCCTCGTCAGCAACAACTTTTTTAGTTTTGGAGTTCAGGGCTACCTCCAAATTATTCAATTTATCAGCAGAGGTAGGCTTGCGATCGGATGCAGCAAGAATGACATTATGGACTTCAACCCACTTGGCCCTAGCCTCTTCGAATTGTACCCTTAAAGGGGCAGCTTCTTAGCCAAGGGTCACTACCTCTTTCTCGCTTTGTCGCAATTGAGCTCCCAACTCAATGACCTTAGTAGCTTGTGCTTCTAGTTCCGAGAGATGAGTATCAATTTGGTCTAGCTCGACCAACAGTTGATCCCGCTTAGAGGTAAGTTCTTCCTTATCAAGAATCAACCTTTGAAGACCCTCGTAAGGAAATTAGCCTGCAAAATAGAAATAAACTAAAAACCCAACCTTAACAAAATAGAGGGTTGTGAAATTGAACCTTGTTGAAATTTAAAAACAACATAAAAACGAGATTGCGCACTGATTGGGTATGTATTAGGGTAAATCCCAATTTCAAAGATATGCTAAAGTTTGTCTATGGCATATGGCATTTTGTAGCTATACCTAAGGTTTATTTGCATGATGATGGCTATTTTATCTACCGTTTTGAATCTGAGCAAGACAAAGCCAGTATCATGGAGAATGGCCCCTACACCTATAATAACAGACCCTTGATATTGAAGACATGGACGCTTGAGTTCCAGATGACCAAAGAACCTATTTGTCTAATTCCACTATGGGTCTGCTTTCCTAGCCTTCCAGTACTGTACTGGAAAGAGGAAAACTTAGGAAGAATTGCAAGCTACCTAGGGAAACCTATATGCGCAGATAGACTAACAGTACATGAAGATAGGGTGTTATATGCTAGAGTCCTAATCGAGATGGATGTGTCTCAACCTCTACCTGAGGAGATGACTATTGAAAAAGCTGATGGTAGCCTTTGGATGCAAATGATCGAGTATGAATGGAGGCCAACATTATGCCAAAAGTGCTTGTAAGTTTATCACAAAACTGAAGAATGTGGTAGAAGGCATAAACAAATGACTAAATAAGCAAAGGAAAACAATCAAATCCAACAACCCCTAAACACTAAACAACAACAACCAAATGTGCAAAAGGGCAGACCAAAGAGGCAATAATGGGTATCCAAAATTGACAAACAAGAAAAAGGGACCTGAGAAGGATCAGAACAAGACTAGTGAGGAGGCAACTTAACCACATGAAGGACAACAAAATGAGCAACATACTGCCCCTACAAAGTTCAAACTAAGAGGGAAGAAGGTTTTAGTCTACTGAGGCCCACTATTAGACCAAGGGCAAGATGAAGATAGTGACTCAGATGATTCTACAATTAACAATCGGTATGCTGCATTGAGTGGCCACAAAGTAGGCAACACTAGCAAAGGTAATCAAGGGGTAGACGTGATTATCAAACCCCCACCTATCACCCTCCCTCCCGATTATATGCTCATAGAATATTAGAGGCCTTAACAAGCCCTTTAAGTAGAAGACATTGAAAGGCTTTCTGCTAAAAAATAAAGTGGATATGATTGGTTGCCTAGAGACTAGAGTAAACGCATACAAAGCTAATAGAGTCACTAAGAAGCTTGATAAATATTGGTCCTTTCATACTGAATATAGAAATGCACCGAATGGCAGAATTTGGGTAGGAGGGAAGACTAGCAATGTGGCAATCACCATTCTGTATTCTGCATCCCAATTAATTCACTGTTAGGTGAAGGATCTTGCCTCATAATTCCATTGCCTAATGATAATTATCTATGGCCTGAATACTGTAGCTGAGAGGAAAGCATTGTGGAACCATTTGAAAATGATACACACTACTGTAAAGGAACCTTGGCTTATCCTTAGTGACTTTAATGTTGTCTTGTCAGCAGGTGATAGAATAAATGGTAATCCTATCCATATCAATGAGACTGTGGGTTTTCAATAATGCATCACATATATTGGAGTAGGACCATAAAATGGTGGTAATATTCCCGGTGCAATTAGAGGGACGAACAAGAAAAAATATATAGCAATATAGATTGGGTGTTGGGGAATTCTGATTGGTTCCAGAAATAAAGCAACCTAGAAGCTATATATCAGAATCCTGACTGCTATGACCACTCCCCTATTGTTATAGACACTAAAGTTACCAGACAGAAATTGAAGACTCCATTCAAATTACTAACTATACTGCTTGATCAGGAAGCTTTCAAAGAGGCTGTGCATAAAACATGTGACATACCAGTGGAGGAGTATACCATGTTTGCAGTATGGAAAAAGCTACAAAAGTTGAACGCAATACTAGAGGCCTATAGGAAGAGTACTCTTCAGTAGAGAAGAAACTAGAAAACCTGAAGTAACAGTTGACAGCAGTACAAGAGGCTCTCTTTAGTGATTGTTGAATCAGAAACTGATAGAAGATGAAAGAACCACATTGTCACAATTGGAGAAATGGACTGCAGTACATGAAGGTATATTAAGGCAGAAGTCAAGGGCCAGATGGATAGATTATGGGGATGCCAATACTAAGTATTTCCATGCCCATATCAAGGCCAAACATGCTAGAAATAGGGTATCATCTATCTATAACTCATTTAGGGACAAACTTACAGAACCAGAGATGGTACAAAAAGAATTCATAACTTTTTTCTAGGGATTGCCACTACTGAGTTACCTTTTACTGACGTTGAAATAGTTAGAGATGGCCCTTTCTTATCAATTCAATAGCAGCAAGAGTTACTAATACCTGTTACTAGGAAGAAATCACAAAGGTGGTCAAAGAACTTCCAACTGATAAGGCACCTGGGATTGATAGATTCCAATCTGAATTCTTTCAGAAGTACTGGGAGGTGATTGGTGATGAAGCAACCTGGGCCATACAACAATTATTTGAGAATGAGAAACTCTTAAAGGAAATAAATTGCACCATCATCACCCTATTACCTAAACTCCCATGTCCTAGCTATGTCAAGGATTTCAGACCTTATTTCCTGCTGCTCTACTATCTACAAGATTATTGTAAAACTCCTTACCAACATGCTCAAGAAGGCAGTAAATTACTTGGTTAATAAGTCCTAGTCTGCTTTTATTGAAGGTAAGGGCATTCTGGACAATATTATTGTAGCACATGAACTGGTAAAAGGATACTCAAGGAAAAGGGTGTCTTCTAGATGCATTATCAAGGTGGACACTAGAAAAGCTTATGATTCAGTTGAATGGAGTTTCTTGAAAATGATATTACTTGAGTTTGGCATTCCTTTTAGAATAGTGAACTTGATTATGACTTGTGTCTCCATATATCTTTATCTTAGCAATGGAGTTCTTAAACAGATCTTTAAAACAATTGAGGCATAAACCAAATTTTAACGTCCACCCCAAGTGTGCTAATCGAGAATTGATACAAATTTGCTTTGCGGACGATCTGTTGATGTGCTGTAGAGCAGATAAGATCTCAATCCAAATTATGCTACAAGCTTCCCAACATTTCTCTAAAGTCTCAGGGCTACAAGCAAATTTAGATAAAAGCTCCATATACTTGGTAAGAGTATCACAGAAATTTAAAGTAGAAATCATAAAGGACTGGCAATTTACTGCAGGTGAATTATCTTTCAAATACCTGGGGTGCCACTTTTTTCTAAGAAGCTAACCATACATCAATGTATGCCCGTGGTGGATAAAATTATTGCAAGGTCAAATTTTGGACAATAAAGTTTTTGTCATACAGTGGGAGAGTGCAACTGATTACGAATCAACTGTTTGAGATGCAAACTTATTGGGCCCAGGTCTTCTTGTCGCAAAAAAAGATTCTAACCATGGTTACTAACATTTGTAGAATATTCCTATGGATAGGAAGTGTTAATTACTCCAGGAAAGCCCTTATGGAATGGGATAAATTATGCATGCCTAGATCTATTAGGGGACTCAACATTATTGACATCTTCAAGTGGAATAAAACTGCTTTGTGCAAACTCCTATTGGCAGTAGCATTGAAAGAGGACAGGTTATGGATACAATGGATACGTGGTATTTACATCAAGACACAAGATCTTATGCAAATGAAGACATCACATCAAGTTAGATGGCTGGTTAAAAAGATTTTTGAAGCAAGGTAATGGCTAGCTGAAGTAGGAGATCCTATCATAATGCTAGAAGGAATGGTTGACAAAGGCAGATTCAACATCAAGAAAGCTTACAGATCTCTCATTCCTCATTATGAAAAGGTCTTATGGAAAAGTCTGGTACTGACTAAAGGCTTACTACCTCGGCACCAATTCATATTATGGTTAGCTGTCAAAAAAAGACTATCCACAGTAGATAGACTAAAGAGATGGGGGTGCAGGTTTCTCAGAACTGTGTGCTATATAAGACTGACTCTATTAAAGAACTTCAACATTTGTTCTTCTCTTGTCCATATTCAAACACATGTGGAGGATCCTAACAAGATGGGTAGGGATAATAAGACCAATTGGCAACTGGGATGAGGAAGTAACATGGCACTCCAGGAAAGTTAACAATTGCAGACCAAAGCAGGTATCCTGGGATTCTTATTTGCAGCAATAGTCTACCATATCTGGGTAGAAAGAAATAGATGCAGGTTTACCAATCAAAAACTAGAAAGCAAATAGCTCATCATAGAGATCATACTACAACTGCATATGAAAGGGAAGAAGATACACAAGTGGAAGAAAGAGTTAAAACAGTTAAATAGTTATCCTGTATAGCTCAAGTGGAATTAGCGAGTATAGTTCAAGTGAAAGTAGTGAATATATAGTGAAATAGCAATTCCAATTGTAATTGAGGAATGATTATATAGTCCAGGCGAGTCATCTTGTATATATTGAGTTACTTGGTTAAATAAAATTTTGCGGTTTAACCAAAAAAAAAGATATAGGAAATAATAGAGGAAACAAAGTTTGTACCATCGCTGTGTGTGCATGGCATTGTTCAATTCTCCCGAGAAAGATTGTATTTTATTTCTATCTTTTTCTGAAGCTAGAGCTTAAAATAATTAGCAAGTTCTAACTGCGGGGACAATAACATTTGGTAGAAACCGAGAGGGAGACGCTCCTCCTCCTTTGAGAATCTTCAGCAGGGGCAGAATAAATATTTCCCAAATTCCCATGAGCTGGGGAGTGGGGAAGAGGGACATCCTCCTCTCGGGCATCTGCGGGCGGTGGAGATGATGTAGCAGTTGCTGGTGGTGAAAGTGAAGTTAGTGAAGAAGGAGATGGAGCTGATGTCATTGTAGGTTGAGAAGCAACTGCGGGAAATGTAGTGCTAGTTCTTGGTTTCTCATCAACTGAAGATGGAAGAGACCCGGTACCCAGCCTTACGATGTCGGGTACAACGACTTGGACTCGGAAGCGAGAGTTAGTATCTTGCACCATATCATATTCCCTTTAGAGCACCGGAGCATCGTCTTCGGTTGAAGTAACTAGCTTAACAAATTGAGCCTTCTGTTGAACTAATGAAGGTCGTCATCTTCTATGTAGAGAAGCCTCTTCATCACTGACTCCTCTATCATCGTCGATCACCACGATATCTATGTCCAGCTCGGGTGCACGCTCATCACTACAACATCTTCGAACGGCTCGGACGCAACACTCTTCTCCTTTTTATTTTTACCCTGGGCCGCGGAGGAGCATTGCCTTTTTGGTTTCTTATTCTCCGACCGGGGACTCCGAAGAAGCACTTCCATCGAAAGTAGGTCTGGTGACACCGATTCGGGTGAAAGCCTCATGCATCAACCTCGCCACATCCGTAGTATCAGCTAAAACATCCTCCTCGGGGACAATAACAACGCCCTACGGAAGACCTGAATTCAACAAGGAAGAAAGGTTAATCAATTTTCTTATACGAGAAGTAAAAGTAAGATAAGTTCAACCTATTATGATTTTTGGCCTTCCACTCATATTTAAGGGCCATTTCTTTCCACTTGCGGGTCTTAGGCATAGTGACATAAAGAATCTTCTGAACCCATTGGTCCAAG